TTTTTTTTTTTGGTACCAGGGAGCGAACTCAGGTCCTTGCGCTTGCGCAGCAGGCAGTGAAATCACTGAGCTAAATCCCTGGCCCAAATTCTTTCTATATTAAAACTGAGCTAACTAATCATTAGGTTGTCCTGCATGGCTCTGACTATGTTATATACAAAGACTATGATGTTTTTAGGAAAAACCTGAAACATTATTATTATATATAAAAGATGAAATTATTACCTTGCCCCTTCCATGAGGAATTCCCAAAGGACAATGTTTCACTGCTCCCAGCAAAGCTGCCACAGCAAAACTAAAGCCAGTCACTGCTTCAGGTGAAGATTTCAGTACAGTAAGCCGTTCAAGGCAGCGATCTAAGAGAGGCGTTAAGTAGCAAGGTAATGCGACAGCAATGCAGCGTAAACACCAAGCTGCCACTAGTCGAACAGAAATGCTAGGATGAAGAACAACTGAAATGACACTGTCAAGAAGACCTGAAAGAACAGAACAAATACAAAATGATGTAGAAACACAGATAAAATTCAGCCATAAAATTGTCAAAAGAATAAATAGCCACCTGGATATAAGATATTATTAAAAGCCAGTCAGATTGAAAAAAAATTGAAGTAATATATAACTAAAAATAGTTTTTTTAAAACCTAGAAGTTAAGGCCAGGTGTGGTGGCACACACCTGTAATCCTAGCTCTCAGAAGCTGAGGCAGGAGGATTGCAAGTTTGACCCCAGCCTAGACACCTTAGCAAGACCCTTTTTCAAAATAAAAAATATAAAAAGAACTAGGGATGTAGGTCAGTATGAAGGCCTTGGATTCAATCCCCAAAACTGCCAAGAGAAAAAAAAAAAAAAGGAAATGGAATACAGTCAACAGCAAGAAAAAAAAAGTCTATACTTTTTATGGTTCAACATATTCCTTCAAGTCAAGCACAGTGGCGCACATATGTAATCCCAGCACTTTGGAGGCTGAGGCAGAAGGATTGCAAGTTGAAATCTAGCCTGGACAATTTAGCAGGACCCTGATCAAGATAAAAAGTAAAAAAGGGCTGGGGACACAGCTGTGCTACTGTGTTTAATCCCCTCCCTCCCACCACCAACAAAAAAAGAAGTGTGTAGAGTGCTTGCCTAGCATGCACAAGCTCATGGGTGCTCTAGCACCCCAAAACAAGAACAAAACATATTTCACATCAACCGCTTCTTAAATAACGTGTTCCAGATTTATATTACTTACAAATATAAGCACAAACCTCATTCAGCAGGAAATGTTTATCAAAAAGGACAAAAGCCACAAAAAATGATATTTTTTTTGGTACTGGGGATCGAACTTGGGACCCTGTGCCTACAAGGCAAGTGGCAGAACCACTGAGCTAAATCCTCAGCCCTGATTTTTTATTTTTTTTGAGACAGGGTCTCCTTATATACAAGTTCAGGCTAACCTTGAACTCACTACATAACTTAGGCTGGCCTCAAACTCCCAGTGATCCTCCGGCCTCAGCCTCCTGCATACTGAGATTATAGGCAACCCCCATGATGCCTTGCACAAAAAGTGATTTTCAAAAGTGACTATAAAAAAGAAGTTACTCACTAAAGACAATATATTATATGATTTGATTTATATGAAATGTCCAAAATAGGTAAATCCATAGAAGCAGAAAGTAGACTCGTCTTTCAGAATCTAGGGGAAAGATAAATGAAAATGACAGCTAATGGATTTCTTCTTGGGGTGATGATAGTGGTAGCAGTGATGATAGCAGTGGTAGTAATTGTACAACTCTACACCAAAATCACTGAAGTATATACTTTTAAGAGGGTGAACTTTACAGTATATCCCAATAAAATTATATCTCAATAAAATTGTTCTAAAAATTATTAATTTTTCAGAGAAAGAAAACAAAGCCTGCTTTAAAAGAACTTTAAGGAACTGACTTACATGTGCCATATGATATTAATGTTTTAACTGCAGCTGAGAGTCAAGAATTCAGGTTTATTTCTCTTTAAGTTTTTCCATATTATCTTAAACATTTCAAGAAAGAGGGACAGAGAAAGACTTTGAGAATAGCCTTTAATTACAAAAGCAAGACAAATAGGCAAAAACCTCCTCATATATATTCATGTTTTAAATAATCCTGATCACAATTTAAAAAAATCTTTATGTCTACAGTGCAATCTATAATGCGTAAGGTATCTGAAGATTTCCTTACTTGAATGTAAACAAAATATAAGGTATTCAGATGTACACAATAGGTATACCTGTACTTGAGTCCTGCAGCAAAGGGGCAGCTGTGGTACCAAGATTATGTATGAGATTTCCGAGTTCTTGTAAAGCACATACTAGCATATGCTGACTGGCTGATACATCTGTGGAACCAAACCGGGTTTCCAAATTACCTTCACTCAATACAGCATCTGACAGAAATATAAGAATTAATTATGCATCACTGTTTTATAAAAATATAGAAAGGGAGTAGGTGTTAGGAGTAGGAAAAATAGGCAAATACTAATACAATGCCACTTGATCAATATGAAACCCTTAAGGCAGTAACGAAAATGCTTAAACGGAGAATGAACTGAATACAACAGATTAAATTAACTAACACAGCCTGATCATTGATCTTTTATTACTTTTAGAAAGAGGCACTGAAAAGGAGAACTCATGGGAAACTAAAAAATATTCCAATATTATTGACATCAAGATAAGCTGAGTGGACTTACAATAGTATTATAGGATCTGAAATGGACTAATTGTTTCAAAAAATAATTTACCTCTTATAGGAAGCACAACATGAATTCTGAGGAACCATTATCACCAGCCTTCAAGATTTTCTTACTAATATAGTAATGTGTCAGTCTAGCTGTAGCATTGTTAAAACAGACTGCCTTCATAGATTCATACCCACAACTTTCTTCTGCTTCCAGATGGCCTGACAGATAATCTTTGCAGCAGCCATCTGAGCCTTTTCTCCAAGAAGGCCTCCTATGGTAGCTCGGAGGATAAATGAAACACATCGGCGACAGCAGACAGTATCGATATGAGTTTGGGTGGCTTTAGGGTGTGACTGTGACACAAGGCTCAGGATATGAGAAAGAAAAACAGCAAAATTTTTCTCTAGCCATGTTCCTCCTAATGTTGAAACAAATACCACGTAAGCCTAAAAAAAGAAAGGAGTTTTATCTTTAAAATTTAATCATTTCAACTCTGTATTAATATTTTCTTTTCTATAAAATACGTAAAATAAAAAAATACATAAAATATTCCCCACAAACTGTACTCTTTCCTCATTTACAGCCACTTGATAAATATAAACACAGCATTATTTGTTTGTTTAAAGACAAAACAGAACAGCATAGTCTTTCAAGTGAAATTTCATTTATGCTGTCCCTCTGTTTTATTTTGGTCAGACTCTAAATTTTCAGGATAGCTGGTATTGCCAGCTAACTTGCAAGATGTGCCTATGGCTGTTCTGAAAAAAGTTCCAAGCTATTTACCATTCTGGACAAGAAAACTCAAGTTTAAACATATGAAAACATTCTAAGAATTAACTGCGCTCCAACACCAAAACTGAGGGAATTTAGTTCTAGGAATCTGAGGAATGTTTATAGTGATAAATCACTGCTCTTTATTGTCATCAATGTTAATGGTTTGTCTTACTTCATATGTACAAAGACAAGTACTTTTAGTAAATATGTAATCTCTTCCTTAGAAACACATAGTTGGTGAATGCACTATGAAACTGACATTCTCGAGGTCTACATACAGTATAAAACAATACTAAGTTTTTTAAAGTGTAAGATTTTAAAATCATAATGGCATTTAGAAAAAAAAAAGATAACTCGAGGAAAGAACACAGGGAACTTTGTGTTGTTTCATTCTAAGATACCTCTTCTAAGGGTTTAGTTTTTAAAATTGTTTAGGACCATAATTGAAGCACTGAAATACATTACATTTTCCTTTACTTAAGAGTTATCTGTATGTAAAAACAAATAGAAAAAAGAAAAAAAAGAAAAGAAATAGTTAACCATATAAAAACATTTATTGAACCCATGCTAAATAATAATTACCTAATAGTTTAAAATGAACAGTATAAGCACAGATAAACACAATGGAAGAAATGTTAAATCACAAGTCATATTGGTGTTCAAGGGCTGGAAAAATGTTATCCATGTTTCAAAGGAAATAAAAGTCCTCCATTTATTAGGAACTTAAACATATTGTAGGTATTAAGATTTTCTTAATTATAACCTAGTTTTAAAAAATATTTTGGCCTTGTTTTACCTATTTATAAATATGAGCACATAAGGAGTGATCCACATAGTATTACTGTAGAGTCAGATACTAAAACTTTCATTACAGCCTATGACAATTACATTTAGATACTAATTTGTAATTCCAACCTGAGTAACTCCAACTCGAACATCCCTACTGACTGAACTGGTTCCTTTCAGCATATCTCCACTGGCTCGAAGAAATCCTGAACTCCCACGTAGAAACCCTGTTCCTAGTAATTCCAAAACTTCCTCCAGAGACACTTTGCGAATGCTTTGACGTGAGGCTGCTATGACAAAGAACAAAACAAAACTATGATTTATGATTTATATTTTATGAGACTAAATTTTAGTGCATGTTTTCTTTTTTTTGGTACCGGAGATTGAACTCAGGTCCTTGCACTTACGAGGCAGGTGGCAGAACCACTGAGCTAAAACCCCGGCCCATAGTGCATGTTTTTATTTGGGTGGGATGCTAGGGATTGAACCCAGGGCTTTGTATATGCTAAGCACATGCTTTACCACTGAGCTACACCCAAGCCTCATTAATGACTAATTTTGATTTGTAAAGAGCCAGAATATTAACAAGCAAATTAAAAATTCAAACAAAATACAAAATTTACAGGCCATTCTATACATTAATAAAAAAAGTCAGACAGGGCTTCAAAAAGGACATCTTAAAAGTGTATGTTTCTTTAAGATCCTGACTCGTTGTTCCCTTTCCTCAAACAAGAATTTAAGAGGCTAATCTTTTTTGCTGTAAGAATTGAGCCCTTGGCATTGTGCATACTAGGCAAGTGCTCTACACCACTGAGCTACATCCCTAGTTCAGGTATAAAAGAAAACATAAATAAAGCTGCTCTACTTTTCTACAAATGAAAATAGTATACACTGCTTTAAAAATTCTTCTGAAATACTAAACATGCCAAAATATAATTTTCTTTTTCCAAATGCTCTGTACTTTTAATAAAAGTTATATAAAATAACCACCATATTTTGTCTCTAAAAAGACTCAATTGGCAATACAATTTTTGTTATTCTCTCAGTCTGTGAAGAAATCAAAGCTAAATACTACCAAAACTACTCAGTTGGCTCTCAGATTATAATGAAAGATTAGGTAGGGCAGGAATGGTCAAGACTGACTTCAGTTTGACACAGCTGAATTTCTCACTGTGACTATCTACAGAATACTATCTTCTCTAAAAAAAAAAGACTCCACATTACCCTTTTCATTTTTCTTCTGAAAATTAACAGTAACAATCTCTGACCTTTGTTACAGACTCAAATCGTACAGCAGAAGAGAAATAAACTTTCATTAATGTTATAAACAACAACATAAAATGTACACTCCAGTCCAAAGAGGAAAAAAACATCTGAGACAAATGAAAATCTATCATAGCATTTGGAAGAGAAATATTATTAAATAGTACACAATCAATCCCTTCATGGATCATAAATTCTAGGGAGAGGCAATAAATGTAATAAGAGACTAAGTCATTAAATAGTGTTTAAAAACCATGCACTAAATACAGTAAATGAGGCCAGGAATACTAGAGTAGAAGGAAATATTGTTATCTGAAATAGAGTTGTTGGGGTAGGAGTCATTGAAAGAGTGCTATTTGAACATGGCTTGAGTATATTGAAGAAATTAGGCATGAGGATATCTGGAGAGTTTCTAGGCAGAAAAACCAGCTGTGGCAAAAAGGCCTTGAGGAGGGATATGATGTCCATGTGTTCAAGCAAAGCAGTGTGAATGGAGGAGGTCCAGTTAGGAGGTGGACTAGAGCCTATAGATGGGAGAGGGTGGAACACAGGACCTTGTAGATCAGTATGGTAAGGACATGACTGAAATGAAGCACCAGTGGAGGACCTTGAGAAAGGAAGGATAAAATATGTCACTTAGCTGTTGTGCTAATAGCAGATTATAAAGGGGGCAAAGGCAAAACCAGGGAGACCCAGTAGGAGTGATTATTTCAGGCAAGAGGATCAAGGTGGTTCAGTGAAGAAGACTGACAAGAGTCTGGAGATATATATCTAGAAATAGTTTTATTGTAAAACATTTGCTCATACAATTAGGGAGGCTGAACAGTCCAGTAATCTATTGTCTGTAAACTGGA